AACAAACTGCACTGTAAAAACACTGCGAAAACAGTCGATCACAAATATTAACGAAATAAAAAAAGTCTTGCGATGGCTTCGCCCGTAAACTTTTTTTTTCGACCATGAATACACACAAGAATTTTTACAAGTTCGTCAAGATGTAAATAGGCGAAAAAAGCTCTCGATAACATTCCATTTAGAACATTTACAAGAAGTTCTACACAACACTCGAACTCACCTTTCTCCCCATGTCTGACGCCATTTTGAAATAGTCCCGATCTATCATCACGTGTTCGCATAATCTAATCAGAAATGGACTTCTGATTTGAACAACGATCCGCGCCTTTTCAAAACGAATACCGCTATCGGGTTCAATATTTAAATAATCAACCGTTATTGCATTCTTGAAATGGTTAGCGGGTTCCATCTTCAAATATTCAATTCGTTATTGCGCTCCTGAAACGATTAGCGGGTTCAACATTCAAATAATCAAATCATTAATGTAATCCTGAGGGGTACGCTTCACTTAGTCTGACTGTAAACGTTAGACGAGATGTAAATATCCAAGCTTAAATCTTTCTAGATTTTCTGTATAATTTGCTGTAACTGAAACTTTGCCAATCCCGTGAAGTTTGTCGCACGGGCCACGCAGGTGTGCGCGCCAAAATCTAATCTACTCTTGGCTTGAAAAAAAAGAAAAGTTAAGAGTGGAAACTTTTGTTTATTAGATGTGAGTAGATAACCCTGTGCTAAGCTGACATTTACAATAAAGCAAACCCGCCCTTTCCATCCAATAATTCTTGGTCTTTGGTTTTGTTTTCCCCAATGAAAGCAGCATCGATTCCCAATGATCAAAGGTATTTAACTTGGTCTCCAACAATCGACAAAAGAGGTAAAATGACAATGACAAAGGGACAAGAAGAGAATCCGCGGCCTTTCGAGATCAAGAATTTGAACACTCTAGGCACTTAAGCTGTTTCCAAACCCCTTCGGTAACTGTCCGAAAACAACTCTCCTCCCCACGATGTTCTCGATAACAAGTTTTTATTCAGATTTTAATTAGCTAACCGCAAACACAGCTAGGCTTTCTCTAAGCGCTTGTTAGAGGTCATCCATGAACTTACGTTCTCTTTAAGCTTGGCCATATTGTGAAAGACTTAACTACAAAGCGAAGATTAGATTTTGGCGCGCACAGAAAGCTACGTAAGCGTAAGCGCCAGTTGCTTGACATACCTGCGTGGCCCGTGCATGCGACGAAGTAACTTCACGGGATTGGCAAAGTTTCAGTCACAGCAAATTATACAAAAAATCTAGAAAGATTTAACCTTACATCTCTTTTAACGTTTAAAGCGACATATCAACGCCTACAACCTTCTAGCCTGAGAAAAGCAGCCGTCCTTTCGCTCCCTTCGTTTGCCCGCGAAAGAAACGTTTCTTTCGCGGGCAAACGAAGGGAGCGAAAGGACGGCTGCTTTTCTCAGGCTAGAAGGTTGTAGGCGTTGATATGTCGCTTTAAACGTTAAAAGAGATGTAAGGTTAAATCTTTCTAGATTTTTTGTATAATTTGCTGTGACTGAAACTTTGCCAATCCCGTGAAGTTACTTCGTCGCATGCACGGGCCACGCAGGTATGTCAAGCAACTGGCGCTTACGCTTACGTAGCTTTCTGTGCGCGCCAAAATCTAATCTTCGCTTTGTAGTTAAGTCTTTCACAATATGGCCNTTTCATCATTATGTGTATGGATACACAGCGACGGTGCAAACAGATCACAAACCATTGGTCAGCGTGTGGAAGAAATCCATAGTGTGTAACTCACCACGCCTTCAGAGGCTATTGCTGAGACTATCTCAGTATGACGTAAACATTGAATACCTGAAAGGGAAGGATAATGTCGTAGCTGACGCACTGTCCAGAGTATCTCCTCAGCCAACACCTAAAGAAGGAGAAGACGAGGAAGATTTCATCCCAGTTCACATGCTCACAGAGGAAATCCCCGCCGATTCTACGAGAGTTGGAGATTTCAGACGCGCAACTGCAGAAGACACTATTTCCGGCTTACTGATGCAAGTGGTAGCAAATGGATGGCCTGAATTAAAGAAAGATTGCCACCCACTTCTTCTAGACTACTGGAGCTACAGAGAAGAGTTCAGTGCAGAGAATGGTCTATTGTTCAAAGACCATCGACTCATAGTTCCTGAGAAATTGCGTAGCAGAGTCCTCCAAACCATCCGCGAGGGTCATTTTGGTTTTGAGAAGATGCAACTAAGAGCCCGAGAAGCAGTATTCTGGCCAGGAATAACCTCAGATTTACTACAGACAGCACAGGGTTGTGAAGTGTGCCAGACGTTCTCGAGGAGTCAACAACGCGAGAAAATGTTGCCCCATGAAGTTCCTCAAGGACCTTGGGAGAAGTTAGCAATTGATTTCTTCGAGTTTCAGTCTACTACCTACCTCCTGATAGCAGACTACTACAGTAGGTTTCCCGTGATCCGAAAGGTACGCAGCACCAATGCGAACACTACCACCGAGATTTTGAAGCAAGTGTTTAGCGAGTATGGAGTACCTCAAACCGTTATGACAGACAACGGTCCCCCGTTCTCGTCGAAGGAATTTGCAGCCTTTGCAAACCAATACCGCTTAGACTACATCACGTCTAGCCCTCGTTACCCACAGAGTAATGGTTTTATCGAACGTATGGTGCAGACGGTCAAGCAGTGCATGAAAAAATGTGCAGCCGCAGGACATGATCCAAACTTAGCTATGTTGGTTTATAGAGCCACACCCCTTACTACCAGCATACCATCACCTGCAGAGCTATTGAATGGACGAAAATACAGAGCATCACTTCCAACCAAATCCCCTATCCAGAATCCTCATTACCAGGTTGTCCGAGAGCAAATGGTGAAAGACAAGAACAAAGTGTGCGAACACTACAACAAAACTGTAAGGGATCTACCTTCATTGCCACAAAATCAGAGAGTGTACGTACAGGTTCACCCCCAATATAACCAGTGGACTCCAGCAACCATTACCAAAACGCCAGTAGCGTCTCAACCGAGATCGTACCGTGTCGAAACTACTAAGGGAGCCCAGTTAGTGAGGAATCGTCGCTTCATTCGTCCAGCACAAGAGACTACTCCCGTTCCTGCCGATAGTATTAAGCGTGACGATAATAGTAGCAGTGAACGACTAAGAAGTGTGATTAAAAGACCTAAAAGACGGAGACAATTTAATTAGTTTCGATGTTTTCAGTTAAGGCCTAAGTTTTTTTTATTAGAGGGGAGATTTTGCATAATCAGCAATTGACGCCGCCATTTACGTTTTATCAAAATAGAATCGTTGATAATTAGTGTACATTGTAGTGTGACCGTAATATATGCAAAATGCTAGCAGGTATAAAACACGTGAATTTTGGCTCTACATTTTTATTACTTGGATTAGTGTGTGCGCGAATAAAGAACTTTATTTTTACAGAACCGAGTAGTTAACACACTTCACTCTGACTGGGCAGAAAAACACAAAGATTTTCTGGCACCAATCAGAATCAGATGCCAGAACGACTGCGACCGTTTGGAACTAGTCTTGTAAGACGATGTCCCCAGGGGTTCTTCTGCCCTAACTTGAAATCGACTCACAGCCCCTGGGTCTCGAGGATGTTTTAACCTCGGCCGATGAAGAGGGAAGAGGAGCTCCTCTGCTCCAGTGCTCCATTGTTAGTCTGGGTTCTAATGTCGTATCCAGACCTCACACATTTCAGTCCATTGAATTTTATATTCAAGATGGCGGCCAAAACATCTCAGTTCATTTATCGATTATTTATCTTTAAATTTTGGATGTGGCTTCTTTCAAACTGGTAAGTTTGTAGATGTAAAGATAGCTTACTATACAGCGATACAAAACTTAACAGAAGTAAAAAAAATAAAAGTAAGATCTGTTTTTGAACTTATCGATACCGCTCCATAAGACGTTAAATAAATAGAACAAAAATAAAAAAAAAGATGAATAAAAATTCTAAAAAATTCCCAGAGAGTGATGATAAAAGTGCAATCCAGAATTTTATAAACTGTTCATTTAATTTCTATTTCTTTTAACAGTTGCTTTGTGGGACCCCAACAAGTTCCCCTTCCAGACACTTTCATTAATCCATCATTTCAAGTTGCTCATTATTTATGGTAAGTTGGAAGTCGCTTAAAAAGCGATTCCCAATTTGTGTTAATGAGGATTTCTTTCATTTCATATATTTATATAAATTCCAACATCTTGTATTTGAAATTCTCAACTATCATCAATTATCATCAGTAACAACACCGCAATCACCAAATTACATGCAGAAAAAAACCCTTTATCACATTTTCAAATAAGTGAATCCTTTTTAAGCTAAGGGGGAGACGCAATGGTGTAATAGCTAGTGTGCTTTACTGTTGGTTAAGTGGTATGAGACATGGCTGGGTCATTGTGTCGAGTTCTTTAATCTCTCCACCCAGGAGTATGTATATCTTATTAGAAGTTTTGTTGTGTAGCATCACTGAGTATTTTACATGTTGTGCGGCATTTTGACTCGCCTGTAGGGTGAGCCAAAATACAAACAACAACTAAAAAGATTAAGCGATGTGACACAACAAAATGTCTAGTAAGAGATTTATTATCCATCAGGCCAAATTGTTGTATCTGTGTGGGCGAATTTTGATGATATTCATTTATGGGGAGTGTGTGACAGAATTGTCCACCATTTTTTTCCTAACTTCAATCCAATTTGTCACTTGTGCAATGCGAGGAAACCTGTCTAACTGATTCTCTGGAGTACAAAAACTGAGATAGTTGTACTCGTTTTGGGTGTTATTTGTACTCTACTGAGCAGAGTTGGATAATAAAACTTGGTACCAGCCAATTGTTTGGGAAGCCTGATGAATTGCCGTGGATAACCTTGTAATGGAGTAGCATCCTATTGATAATCTTTGTCATTTCTTGGAAGGGAAACTGGGAATTAACTCCAGCCTAAGCTTCAGTTCTATGTTGTCCATCATGGTTAAAAGTAAACTTTTTTTTTTTCAGGCAAGGACAAACTTCCCAAGTAATTAAAGAACTTGACAAAGTACACAAGCCATCATACATTTTGGCAACACCACAACACACTTTGTATATATCAAGGTAAAAATATTATCAGGGTAATTGTAACTTGCTTGCAAAGGGCTTTTATTTTACTAGAAGTGATCTATGAAAATCAAGATGTTATAACTGCATGTTTGCATTTTACATATGTGCAGTCTTAATTTAAACACATAAGATGTCATGCATTGACCATTCTAGCATTCTCTCCTCTTCCCATGTAGCTTGCCCTAAGTAACTGTAAATTGGGTGATTTAAAGTCTACTGACTCTTTATGCATTGTGAAATTTGATAACAACATGAGATGGAGATTAACTTTGCTTATTTTTTACTTTATTCCTTGTCTGAATTCATGATCAGCTTTTTACTTGACCAGGTGAGCAACTCTTGATCTCCTCCGTTTCCTCATTTCCACATGTGATTCATAAAATGTATTATTATATTAAACATAACATCTTCAAAATTTGTTGACTGGGTCACCTAACCCCACAGAATTTCAACTCAAATATCACCCCTAAATCATACATTAATTTCAGGAGAAAAAAGGTTCATGACTTTTGAAAGAAGCCAGCTGTTGATTGTTAAAGAAATTCTTCTTGTCAGCACCTTAGAAAATGGATGGAGAACAGTATGGAGAATATGCATACTGATGTGACAGTGCAGAGGGTTTAAGGGTTTGATGTGGGATTATAGACTTGTATCCTGTCAAGGTGGATGGCAATTCATTTCTTGCCATTGAAAGGATGGAAAGCTATTGCTTATCCAAAATTTCAAACTAGTAGCTTGTACATAGCTTGATGTTATAGTTGATGTTTTTGGTCTTTTCTTGCTTGTTCAATGACAGGTTTTGTATGTGGCAGACACTAGACAGATAGGAAGCCCTGCTGTCACTTTTACTCAAGGTCATGGACTTGATGGTCCATGGGGAATGGTTGCTGGTAAAAAGCTGGTCAAAGTTTTTATCATAAGAACTATTGAGATGTAACAGTGGGAGCTACCCGCTAAAATCTGTCGAACTGTCCTTCATTCTGCTTTACGATTCAGTTATGATTTTTACCTCGAGATATGACATTAGTCATTCTGATTGATCATGAGTAAATGCATTATCTTCATCATTAGGGTGGGTATACTGAATGCTTCTTATATACATGTAGGTCGGGGCAGACCTGGTATATTTATTGATAATCGTTTTATAATTTAACTTACATCTCTTTTTAGATGACACGTACTTGTATGTTGCAAGTTTCACAACAGATCAGATTCACAAGTATGATTTAACTACAAGAAGGTAATTGATTGTACACAATCTACCTAAATAATAGAGGAAATGTGACTGCATGAAAACATCTTGGAATCATGTTGATGCTTACCCCAGAGCATTAACCACTTGCACATCAAGAGAAGGGACCCTGCTTTTTTGAGAGCCTCACTTATGGAGCTTCTGTGGCATATCAACATCACTCTAATTTTTTCCCTTTTTTTTTTTTTTTTCGCACAACAGACTACACCAAAAAGTAGGGACTACTCATAGTCTTCCATAATAGATGACATAATAATAATAATAATAATTATTATAATAATAATAATAATAATAATAATACGTATGATGCATGATCCTCACAGTAGATATCGCTATTTATGCAATAGCGAAAATCAGACCTGAAAAAAATCAGGCTTGTACGGGATTCGAACCACTGACCTCTGCGATACTAGTGCAGCGCTCTACCAATTGAGCTAACAAGCCAACTGGGAGCAGGCTGTTAAGTTGATTCGTAATAAACCCGTGAAAGTGATAAATGAGATACAATGAA